GAAGGGGCTGGAGGGGGAAGGAGGGGAAGTGTGTGTGATTGGTTGGAGGTGCGCGGTGAGATTGGTTAGAGGGAAAGTGGGGAGGAGTCTGTGTGATTGGGCAAGATGGGCTGTTTTCCACGGGTTCTGCCTCGCGTCCAGGAATAGCGCGCTGGTCGGTGCCAGCTGGCGATTTACATCGACGTGTACATGCCCTAAAAGAGAGCACGCGTCTGTCCGTGGCCCGCCAGTGGAGTGAACGCCGAACTCAGCCTCAGGGTCCAGGGGTTGGCTACGCGTTAAGCATTTCCTCTACGATGACTTCACGCCGCTCTCCCATATATTTCTGCAACAGACCCGCATAGTGGCCATCCTCTTCCTCCCAGAGGGTTTCATGTATACCGTGCTGGACAATCTTCCCCACTTTGTTGTCCAACTTGTCCTTTTGCCTGACCTCTTCTTCGGCCTTTTCCTCAAAGTTAAAAAACCGGGATACATTCTCTATTAGCGGCAGCATCCTCAATTTGAGCGATTTCGGTGTCGTTCTGATTTCAAAAGAGTACTATAACTCAGTGTGATACAAGCTCACTTCGTCACTTGCAAGTTACCCATCAAGAGCCCAGGGCGAAATCTTTCAACACTTGAGATTCGGAGATAGCGATGATGCCCTCAGAAAGGTCTGCCTGTGTGAGATCATGACCTTTGAGAACGCCCAACTAGGCGATTCCCACTGTTCGCAACTCCACCAGTTCCTCCTACTGCGCAGCAACTATCTCAGACCTGCCTATCTGACTGGCGAGCCCATTCCTCCAACGTTACTTCATTCGTGGTGGTGGGCTAAACGGGCCAAATATCATCTCAAATACCCGGGTTCCGACCTACCAGAACATCGAGATTCAAAGGCCAGAGTTCACAGAATCGATGCAAAACGGGCGGAGGATTGAGGTTATCCGAGAGACACTTGACAGCAATAAACAATAGCGATTTGATCGGTAACAAGGCAGGATACAGGCAGGCAGGAGTTGAACAGCGATTGATTCACCGAGGCGAACAACACCGTGATTTACAGAACCTGCTAATTGGCACGCCTGACTCTGTTCCAAGGAGGACCTGGAAAAAGCGGCATGAACACGGGAAACCAGGAAGGGCGTTGATTGCTACCGATATCGGCCAGCGTCAGAAACAGCAGCAGCAACATGCAGAAAAGGAGGAACAGCGATATCAGGAGGAAGTACAAGAACAACCTGTGGTACAGGCACTACAGGAACATCGAAAGATTTCGGTTCCTGTAGAAAACACGAGGGAGGAAGAGGTAGATCAAATTCTCCATGGTTAGTACATCCACCCCTAGTCCGGAGTCATGAACGGCCACGGCCACGTCACAGTCCTTCGCCTGAAACCTCGCCTGAACGAGTCCCGCCAGCGTCAACGGCGCCGCCAGCATTTGGCAGATGCAGACGTGTCCGCAAGCGAACGAAGAGGCCAGTTGAGGCCAGGCAACAAGGTCTTCTGCCTGAATCACAGGATGACTAGATCTCTGAGAGATCAACACCAAGATTGGCTGTACAAACAGGCGGCAGCGAAGTCAGGCAATGGCGAGATCAGGAATGAATAGAATTATGTCCAAGAGAAATGACCTCTATGTCAGATTCTACCGAACATTAGGCGAACTCGTCGCCCCAAGGCAGACCCTGAACTTCTATCAGGCTGTCCCTGCCACCTTCCCGGTGGTGGTCGTGGTGATCGTGGTAGCAGCAGTGGCAGCAGAGAGACCAGTGTTGTTGCTGTCATTATTATTATTATTATTATTATTATTATTAGTGTTGTTGTTATTAGTGTTGTTAGTGTTGGTGTTGGTGTTGTTGTTGTCGTCCGCCCACGCCATGTGGCCAGCAGTAGCAAGGGCGGTCCCGGCCTCGCGAAGCCGGTCACGCAGGAAGCCAATGGTGACTTCTTGGGCTGCAATGCGGGCGCGGGCAGAAGAGAGCCGGGAGCGAAGGAATTCGATGCTGGCTTGATTTGACTGTTGCAGGTATCGGTTCACGCCGGCCTCTGGAGAAGGGAGATCTTGAGATGCTCACTCTCGAAATTTTGCACTGGTCCGAGGGAAGAGAAGAGAACATGATGCGAGTTGGGCGAGGCGGCTCCTTTTGAAGGATTCTGCCATGTCCACCTGCTGCTGCCGTTACTGCTCGAGAACTGCGCTCCTTCCATTCTGTTGCTGCAAAATGAAGGCACATCCAGACTCTCTCGGTGTGTTCCTGTGCTCCTACCATTTCTGTTCCTGCCTGATGCTGCACAGTGTCTTGCAGAGGTGCACTCATGCGGGCGGTGTCTGCGTGCGTGGAAGGCGACCATCTCTTCTCTTGTCCTCCGCCAATCTCTCAATCTTTGGTTCAGTTACTCTCGTGGTACCACTCAGATACTGGTACTGTAGGGGCCTCTCTGCCCCTACAGTAACCCAGCTGAAACGTCATGTGTCTGCACCGTCACGTGACTGGAAAGCCCAATCGGGTTGCCGAATAACAACAACGCCTTCAGACGTAAACAATCCTGTTGAGATCTCTGTTCACGTCTCCATTGATGTCTCCGCGCCTAGACTATATATAAAACTGATCCAATTGGTTTCTTTACTACCCTCATTTATCTACTCGAGATGTCTGCAGAGCCTTATTCATTCATGTGCAGGAATGCCTCCCGAACTGCCTCCAGAGCTGCCTTCATCCTCCCTCGAAGACTCCGATTCCCTCAGACCATGCAGTGGCTGCCATCGATCAAGTCCGAGAGAAAGCTTCCGACCTATGCTTGGTAACAGGGAGACGGCCCAGTGTCTTGAGTGCCGTCAAAGAGTTGGATCGATCATGTCAAGAAAACGCAGCGCTGTACAGGTGCCATTGTCCAGCCCAATTCAACCTCCACGTCCTCCTCCAGGACGGCCTATAAGCTTCAAGAGTCAGGCAGCATGAAACTGCGTTCTTTCGCCGTGGACTACATCATCAGGGTATACTTGCTCAGGCAGCGGCCAGAAAACAACGAGTTGCCATCTCCGGAGACCATCGAGCTCGACACCGTGCAGGCGAGGAGACGTCGCCATCGCCAGGGTTGTCTCAATTAGCTAGCCAGTTAATAGAGAGCCCTGTGAGGCATTTCTCCATTCCAGGTGCATCACAACGATTCCAATCTTCTATTCTTAATTCTCCAAGTTCTATTTCTAGCCGGGCGAATCCTTCACAGAGCGTCATCTACACAGGTTGACAATCTGGAGATGCTTGATCCACCCCTGGATCCCTACGATCCTGATAGTCCTGCCCTAACAGAGCGAGATTGGCAATATATTCAGGACTTTCATAACGCCCTGAAGCCAGACAAGATCGAGGGCGATGGTTTGACATGAAGTTGAGTCATGACTGTGTTTGCGCTCGTTGCATTCGCGTTGACAGCATTGGCCCAGACAGGCGAGAGAGAATCATCTCAATCCTGGCCTTCGTCCCCTCACACAGATCGAAGAGAAGTTGGTCGCTCGTGCCCGTGTCTTCGTTGAGATCCATCAGGTCCGTGGAGTACAACTTCGCTATGGAGACCACATCGTGAAATTCCTCAGGGACACTGGTTTTCCTCCGTCAACACCATCCTGGCTACAGAGACATCGAGATCCGCACTATCAACCTGAATACTTCGCCTGAGGATGTACCTGTTGACCATCGCCTTCTGGTTCAGGAGCTTGAGGCGGAGACAGAGCAGGATCTTGACAATCAGGACGTTCCAGATGTTGCAGACGAGGACGAAGGGGTGGACACATCTATTGTTCCTGATCTCGCTGCCACTGAGGCCGAGATTCAAAGACTGCGTAACCAGATGAGGCCAGAACCACGCTATTTAATGATGCCCTCTCCGTCACACGCAGCTCTCCGAGTTCAACAGGAGCTAGCCAATGCGGTCTTGGCCTTTCCAAGTCTCTTTCCAAGTGGTGATGCTGAGTTTGCGACACCCTGTTTGCGAACAGTCGGCTGTGTTGACATGGTTAGACACCTGAAATACTAAGATGGCTGATTCGCAAACCATCCTCGGTTCCGTCACGTGGTATTTAACACCATAATGAGGACTCAGATCAACACTCGAGCGTGGTTCTTTGTGAACCAGAATGTCGATTGGCGTTCTGAAGAACAGCGATCAACACGCTACGAACTGCAAGATGGCGGCGAGACAATCAGCGCCGCCAGTCGCCGCTGTAGAAGTATATTATCACGGCGCAGCCTTGAACAGGAGAGATCGCTGTTAAGGGTGCAATTATGACATGAATTCTGAGACGAAGGAATCTAACTAGTGGTTGCGGCGATGGCGCGAAAGATTAAGTTGTGCGCGATCAGCCTCGTGTGGGGTATCCAGCCTTGTGCGGGGTAGTCAGGTGCTCAGACCGTGATATATATACTGCGACCTGAGCGCCTGGACAATCTCAAGTACCTCGGCTTCGTCCGCCGGTATAACTTCCCCGTTAATTTGTAGAGGATATCAAGCTTCGACCGTTCGCAAAGCCTCTAGTTCTGAACTACTATCCTCGCTATAAGCAGGAGGCAAACCCGGAGGACTATGCCATGCTGAAGGTATTGCTTCATGTCCCATTGTGCGATATTAATGAATTACGGAGGCTAGACATCGATGATGGCTTTGAGACCTTTACTAAGGGCTGGGATTACTGGAATTCAACCCGTGTCAGAACTCTCCGCCTTGATTTCATGGGGGAACTTCCTCCGGAGCCTGAGGACGATGGTCTCGAGGATCTGAATGTTGATGATAATGCGAATGTTGAAGGGTCCTGGGAAGAGCTTGCAAAGCAACTCCCCCATCGAGATAATGGTGTCCGTGAAGACGATCCAGAAAGATTATGAGAACGTGACTTCGATCGCCACTACGATTAGACACCTCGTGTTGGCCATTGTACCATTCCGGACTACTGCTAGAAACAGTCGAAGATTAACAATCCTGCCAATCTCGTAGTCCATTCGTGTGCGGATCCAGACGCCCTGGAGGCTAAGCAGAGACAGCCTTATGACCATTTCGTCACCCACTATCAGCTTGAACTTGCTGGGCTCCAAAACAAACAGCTCCTGATCAATCCCGATGGTAAGGCCCAGAACAGGAAAACCACACGTAATCATGCTGGTCCCGGCTACACTAGAAGAGACGGCGAGATGCCATGGAAAGGCCAGTCCAATTGCGCGTGTGGCACTTGCTGGCGTCGCCGCCCACGCGATCAGTGGACGAACACCGCATGCACAGTTTAAGTTGCCTGTCCAGTTTGTCAAGGGATTCGATGCGCTCAGCATCCAAAACCTGACGGCGTTACAAAACGGCGAACTCAGCCATGTTTGGTATCTCATCATTGACAAAAAGTCCATGATTCTATAAAGATATTGACCTGGATTGACCAGCGATTGAAAGAGATCTTCGAGGACAAGAGCAATACGAAATTTGGCGGAATGAACATCGTGATTGCGGGCGATTTCTGGCAACTCCCTGCCGCTCGAACACAGTTTCGGATCACGACTGCTTGCGCCATCACAGTTCACAAGGCGCAGGACATCACAGTGAGCAAAGCAATTATAGATATAAAGCGGGTAGCAACTCAACTGAATGGGAAACATCTCGTATAGAACAGGCTTAGCATTCGTATGGCACGTGATGAGCTCCGAGAGACGGTCGGCGAAAACCACATCTTTGGCACCTTTACTCCACCGCGATAATGTCTACGGTGAATCAGGAAACGCTGACTTGATTGAGCATGCTGCAACATGCCCTGAAATATTTTCATTCCATCGCCGTATTATCGAATTCAATTTCCGTTTAGCTTCGTGGGCAGATTCGGAATAGCAGCTACGGCCAGGTGCACGCTCCTCATTGATAACCTCATTCTTATCATGGTTACTAAGACTGAATTGGCACCATTTCCAGTGAATATAGGTAACATCTCAACAGGAAAATTTATCGCCGTTTTAGGAAGTAGTAGGCAGCTATTTCAGACATCATTTCAGTCACTACCATAAGTGTAGGGGCGTGTAGTCGCGGGAGAACTGCGCCTCTTGGATTAGCATCGCAATCAACTTCTCCAGTGATCTTCTTGCGTAGTTCGAAGCTAAAAAAGATCATCTGATAATCCCAGAAATCTAATTCAATTACAGTGTACTTAATTTCCACCGATTTCCTCCATGCCCACTAGAATACTTCGCAAGCAAGACAATACAGCCGCATCACATCCTCTCGTTCCATTGGAGGTACAGGGCATACAGTACAATCTAGTAGCACTCTTCAAGGCACTCTCCCAACCTCTTTGTGGAGTGGCGATGACAACTTTCCCCGAGAGGGCCTGGGTTCAGCGTTATTCATAATTAGGCATCAGCTGTCCCTCGGTATATCGATGCCCATTTCTTTGAAGTAGATCTTGAAATCGGTCCTGGCTGGTTGTTGTCAGACCTAGAACAGAACTGGTTGAACGCGGCTTACACTTCGCTTTCCGAGACACCAAATATCTCCCCCATTTTTTGGAAGTCCAGCTCGATATTGCTGAACAAATGAGTCCATGCGAGCACCAGAACCATGGTGTCTGGTGGCCGTTTTCCAACGTACGACTGTTCGTCTGGACCTGCTGATGACGCAGGAGGGCTTGATGGACTGTCATCCGTTCCTGGGGTTCGTGGTTCGATCTCTATAATCTCTAACATGTGTCCATCAAGCCTCAAGCCTTGATCTTTGAGAAGTTCTTCAAAGGCTTCGTCGCTAAAAAATATGTTTTATCAGCTTCATCCTTGCCAGCGGTGAAGGCGAACTTACGTCGCTTCTGGTCCCATTTTGAGAAGATCCTGGATCAGCATCCAGTCGTCGTTGTCTTCACCGAAGACCTCATAAGCACGGGAAAAAATGGCAAACAACATCGATGCTCGATCAATATCCGCCATGGTTTCGTTGATATCATTCCAGAGGCAAAGGTCTTGAAGTCTGAGCTGAGTACAAGGAGGAAAAAGTCGGTGAACAGCGCGGCAGGCAAAATTTGTCGCGTGACGGTGCCCTACTCCTATCGGGAAAGTGAGCCGAATAATTTCCACCGCGGCACACAACAAATCCGCAGGCGCGCCAGATAAATTTCATACTAATCAAGTTATCACACTCACAGTGCAATGATGGGATTGCATGCTTTCCAGAGGGCTGGTTAGTGCATTTCTATCTCAACGTAAGAGACAAGGTCGAAGATAACTTTAACGTTGCTACATATCGCACCGCACTAATGCCAGCTGATAGCCACTACATGCAGTTTCCGCTTTCATGCCCTCCTGATTCTCCAAAATCTACCGATTCCTCAAAATGCAGCCTGTACATTACTCCCCACCTTCCTACATCGTTTTCGTCGAAACCCGTACCGACGCGGTCACGTTGATCGAGGCCTCCCTCCGAGGCCAGCTGCGCGCCATTGAAAAAAAAAGAAGGCCAAACCTCCCCCGAGCGAGGATCCATTGCGCAAAGCGGACAAGTCTTGATTTTTGAGGGGACAGCCTCAGGTATTCAGCGTTGGACATACGGATGCCAACAAAGCCACCTCAGCCCTCCGCACGTTTCGGTCCTTTCAGATCCCCAGTTCACACGATAGGTCTCTCTATTTACCACTGGCCATACTACGCTCTACTCGATATTTCCGATCGAGGTCACGAATGGTCGAAGTATAATCCCGAGTTCTTTTATTAACACACCGTCTACCTGCGACAGACGAGTTGACTCTTTTAAGGTGGTACGTAATAAGTACGGCCGAGAAACCGAGGAAGAACCAAGTATTAAAGTCAAGACTGGTGCGGAGGATCTTTCAACACTTTTTCAGTCATGTCTTCGCCTGTAAGAGACCTATCCTCGCCCGGTGAGTAAAATCCAAAAGAGGGAAAACGCAAGAGCACCCGGTAAAGAAATCTTCCTAAAGCACAGTCGGAGCTCTCTGTGCATTCATTTACCATCGGGCAAGCCATACAAGGATGTTTGTAGGTTCTTATATTCTGAACCAGAACTTGACAGACTCTTGCAGTCGATGCACGCGGAAGACACGAGAAGGGCACAGCGGCGTTTCCAGTCTCTTCGTCTGAGCACAGATACCGAACCTTAAGAAGGTCCTCGTGGCCGTCGTTAGCTCTTCGCGAGGGCGTCCACAACCTGCGTCAATGGGCAGCACTTAACGCCACTCCGGAGGCACCTGAACAACATCCCTGCGGGCACAGCTTGGTATCATCGTGGCCAGGCACTTTTGGGGTTCTGCGTCGTGCTGGACGTGTCCACGAGCCGCTAGCGCTGTGGCAGGGACGATGGTACGGCCCACCCTACTCTTCCTCAAGGACGCGTATTTGTTAACCAAAAAAAAAAAAAAAAAAGCAAAAAAAGCCCGAGGTCGCAGCAGTTGGCGCGAGATGTTTCTTTGTTTCCTGTTCCCTTTGTCTTTGATTGGTAGGCGAGTAATACCACCCCCCCCCCCCCCCCCCCACCCCGTCGCGGATTCCGATCGGGTCATGTATGTAATTTTGAACGAGGAATGAACGGAACACACATGAGGACGGACATCTTGAGGATGTTTTTTTTTAAAAAAAAAATATAACAGAGGCGACAAGAGAATACAGGGAAGCTTAGAATCCAATAACCGTCTATTGTGTGCTATGAACCCAAACCCGGCAAGACGGACGCGTCCCGTGCGCTTGCAAAGAAAAGAAAATCGAAGAACCCCGCAGTGCCGGCCACATGGCTACTTTCCCCGTAAGAAATCCGTGTCACTGCCTGCGGTAAATTTTTGTTATTACCTGTTAATGCCACCAGGCGCCACCAATTTTATCATGACCTCCCCAAATGTGTGTCTCTCGGACGTCCGGATCATCAGACGACAGCGTTTAGCTGAGCCATCCTCTTTTTTCTTTTGTTTCTTCGTCTTCTTGAACCGATCGGAGGCCGGAGGGATGGTAGCGATCAGAGCCATACGGTAGAATACAACATCAGGCGGCTCGGCCCTATCTCCATAAATCTATTAGTAGGGTATATTAGTCATCACATCCTTCCCTTTTTATAAAAGCGAGCTCGTTAGCTAGGGGGGGTGGGGGGGAAGGGAGGAAAAGGAAGGGAGTTATAGGCGGACTTACGTAATGCATCTAGGCTAAGCGTCGCTAATATAGCTCGTTAACCTATACGATATCGTCCAGCTTATTACCCAGTCGTTTCGTAAGCTACTCTAGATTTTCGTGAGCAGCCCGTAATATCATTACTATACTATTTTCGCCACCGGTCATCTTAAGCGGGAAATAGTCGCCTTCGTAGTACTCGAACGAGGATATTTTAGGAGGTATTACGAGATACTTTACACGTGAGGTGCCACAGCAAACCCGAGGTGGTTTACTTGGTGATATAGTAGTGGAGCGATGTAGCAGAGACGAAACCAAGAGTATAGTACGCGGGACTATACGTAAAGCACTTAACCGAGAGGAACTCGATTATTTGTGAACGAGGTTGACTACGAGGAAGAACTATGGAAACTATGAGAACTATATAGATGGGTGTCTGTAGGTGCTCTGCAGTGATCTGCGCTGCTCTGTTGCAGTCTCACCCAGAGCACATAGTCCAGCTCTGTGTGGACTGTGCTGCTCTGTTGCAGTCCACCTCAGAGCATGCAGTCCAGTGCCGTTCTGGGCCTAGCCCCTCCTTGGCACTTTTGCACACTCTGTCTCTCAGACTTCTCATGGCCTGTCGCTCTGCCCCTCCACGGGCCTCTCTCCTGGCCAGTTCGTAACAGGAGGCTCCGGGATAACCGACGCTAGTCTAACGTCGAGGTTAAGATGACGAAGGGTAGCGAAGGCTGATAAGTCGGTTCCCTTAAGAGCGGTAATTTTATCGTTAGGGAGGGTTTCTCTTTCCGCTAGATTTTCGTCTTCGTAGATACCGTACCTATAATTCATACGGGATCCCCTTCTAATTTCTAGGACCTTTAAAGTTGTCGTCGGGTATACGTGAACGTAGTAGATGCCTAGTTTTCCGCCTATACGCCGATTACTTATTAGTAAAACTCGTCTTTAGCTAGTTAGACTACTACTAGGAATAGGATTAGGGTGTTTAGACTTACCGTTCGGCATCTACTGCGACTCGACGAGTAGATTTTATAGGATATCGTACGACATAAGGCTTAGGATGTTTACTAGCGCCTGTGAGGGTTTGGAAAGAGTTCTGTAACTAGCTAGCCAACCTAGTAACAAGGAGGATAAATCTGAGGAGAGAGAAGGAGGAATAATGTCCCCTCCTTCTCTCCTTATATCGTACGCTCCTCCGCAAGGGAT